TATGTAGTATCTTTGTCTTTCTTATATATATATATATATATATATATATCATCACATTATTATTGTGCTTTATTGCTTATAAAATCTTAGGCGTTGCCTGAAGATCTATCATCTCTTCCCTCCTTTTCCCTGCTTACACAGCTTCCAGTACATCTGGGACGATGGATGTCCACCACATATTCCCATGAAGGAAGCTGACCCCTTTTCATCCTCACTGTCCTTCCTTCTCCATACATCACTACAGATCACCAATAGAAACAACAACCCGAACATCCGCTCTAGTAGACACTAGAAAAACACAACAATGGACGTCATTCCGATGGTTGCGAAGGAGATTGTGTCCCGTCTCCAAAAGCAGGCCGCCTTCCCTAACTCAAACACCACCGACCCTCCCACTTTGAACGGCACCGGGCACAGTCCCGTGATCTGCACGGTCGGGCTCGCGGAGGTGCTCCTGCGGATTTGGCTGCTCGGCTCCCCTCACACCGACGCGATGGGGAACGTCGGCCAGAGCGTTGAGGCCATCGAGGCGTTGGTGGACGAGCTGGTTGGCTTTCTCCTCTCCAGTAGTGCGCCATCGCTGGCGTGTTTACGGCTCCAATCCGCGCGCGACGCCCTGAAAGGGGAGCTGTTGGGCCAACGGCGGACGGAGATGGTGAAGAAAGAGGCCTTGATGCTGTACTTCACCAAACGGGTCCTCCGCTATGGGCCGAGCTGTGCCTCAGACGAGGTGCTGGGGGACATCCTCCTGCTTATTTTACATCGCTACGACCGTGTGAGGGGGGTGGACGAGGCCACGGGGCTGGCCCACCGCCGGGACACCCTCGCGGCGCTTTCCCTTGTCCTGCCCCGGCGAAAAGTCCCGGGCTTCATTCGGCTCGACGCCGTTGAGCGGCGGCGGCAGCTGGAGGAGATCGCGCGGGTGGTGTGGGGAATTCGACTCTTTAACAGGGAAGAGGGTCGGGAGGAGGGTGTGGGGCTGCCTGACCCCCGTGAAGGCCTCGAGGGTCCGTTGGACACTCTGAAAAGGACTAGCGAAGACGGCCTGGCGAGGCTGCGCGCGCGGATGACACCGCTGCTGGCTGTGATGGAGCGCCCGACAAGCGTCCTCCCAGGGGAAGAGCAGCGCCGGCTCCGCGAGGAGTATCACCACCTCCAGCAGATTCGACATATCTTTCTCGCCGTGCGTGGCCTTCAGCGGGGACTTTCCGTCGCCGTCAAGAACGAGGTCTTTGCGCGATTTGTCACCGCGTTGAGGGAGCTTCGGAAGCGCTTCGCCGCGAAATCTGGTAGAGATAAGGCCAACGGGGAGGTCCGAATTAGCGAGGGGACGACTGGGGGCATTACGAGCGCTAGCGATACGCTCGTTGGTGTTGGCAGCGGCCCCCCTTCCGTCCTCAAAGAGGTGGTGTATCCGATGTTTATGGCCCTGGCGGACGCCTCGACGGCCGCCCGGCGGCTTTCGCTCGAGCTTGAGGAGGCCGGGCGTCTTTTAGAGCTCGCCCTTCACTCCGAGGACGAATCCCCGTCGACGCTGCCGGAGGAGCTCGCGGAGGAGGCGATGCCGCATATCGCGAGGGAAAAGCCCTCCCGCGGCTTCGACATCATCCGCGCCGAGGTGGAGGGCGTTTTAAACGACGAAACCAGCCCGACAAGCCGCGCGTTGAAGGAGGCGGGGCTGCAGATGAAGTATTTGACCTCGCTGCCAGATGAGTTTGACGCCATCACGCGGGAGTGTTACCCCGAATCACTCTGCGCTCTGCGGGGGTTCTGCCCGGTGCGGTTTGCGCAAACGGGTTTGCTGCGGGAGGCGCGGGTCCCGCGCTATCCGGCTTCTTCATCTCTTTCCAACGCGAATGACATAAATGAGAATGGTGATACGGACGCGGATGACAAGGTCGGGGCGGGGCTGCTCGTCGTGGAGGGCAGGTTCGGCGGCTTGGCGTTGGCGAGGCCGCAGTATTTCGCCTTTCGCGATGAACCCGCCCTCCTCGCCTTCGTGGCGGACCCCTTACGCTACCTCCGCGCCGCCTTCCGTGGGGAATACGAGATTGTGGATTTGCCGAACGTCCCGAAATCCACTCCCAACGCTCAGGAGAAGTCTTTTTCGTTGGGCTCCAGCGGCGCTTCTCGTGAGCCCGCGGCGATGCTGCTCGCCGGGCTTTTGGATTACGCCCCGCGGGAGCTCTACATCGCCGGCGCGCGGATGATCGAGGCTGGGTCTTCTGCTCTTTCCTCCCGCGCAGAAGGGACGATGGACGAGACGAAATCCAAATGTGTGGATGCGGGTACGCAGACCGGACAGATCGACCCTTACTTCGATCACAATTATTACTGGAATGAGTGGGATCTCCGACGCCAGGCGCTGAAGCTCGTGAATTTGCTGAATATGCGAACCCATTTCACCCAAACGACGGCGTCCCGATTTCGTCGGGAGAACGCTACACAGGCGAGTCCGCCGAAGACGTCAGCCACGCAGACGATGATCGATGCGGCCACACAGCCCCTTCAAACAGTGCAATACCTCAAAGGATTGCGCGGGACGGCTTCCTCGGAGGTTAAACAAGTCCAACGCACTTTCCAATACTAAAAGGAGTTGTAGTAGTGAAAAAAAAAAGAAGAGGAGGGGAGAGGCCAAACAAAAAGGAAGCGAAGAGAAAGCCAGCAAACAAGTGAAGCACAGACTGAGCTTTGTTGAACGAAAAAAAAAGGAGAAAAGGAAAATGAAAATGTTCATGTAAATTACATTCTCTTTTTCTTAGAGATTCCTCTCTAAGAGCTGTACAAAAGAAGGAAAAGGAAATAGTGGTTTAAACTCACAAATACTTTTTTCTGATTTAGCTTTTTTTTTCCATTTCCCTTGTCTAACATTGGCTTAGAACTGAGATGGGAAAATACATTTTGTCGACATGTGTACTACCATTGGAGGGGTTCCCCAGTTTTATTTATTTCTTTTTTTTTCCCAATTTTTCTGCAGTATAATAATAATAAATATTATTATTCCGCTGTTAGGAAATCAAACCCTTCTTATCCCCGGTCGTGTGTGGAGCCTTTTACCCAACCGATGCCTTCCCATGGATCCCTGGAGCGGCGTCTTGTGGAGCGTTTTCTGCGTTACACCGCGATTCCCTCGCAGAGCGTCTTCCTTCACGACCAGATGAGCCCCAACAAAATCCCATCCTCACCAGGCCAACAAATCTTCGCGGAGCTTCTCGCGCGGGAGCTTCGGGAGGCCGGCCTGGAGGAGGTGGTGTGCGATGATCAGGCCACCGTCAGCGCCCTTTGCCGGGGAGGTCAGGATGGAAAGGAAAGGGCCCCTCGGATTGGGTTTATCTGCCATTTGGACACCTACGATTGCGGGTTGAGCCCGGAGGTGAAGGCGCAGCTGCTACATTATGACCACGGGGATGTGTGTTTAAACCGGGAGCGGGGGATCTGGATGCGTCTCGCCGAGCACCCCGAGCTGGGGCGGTACGAAAATCAGGATATCTTATTTACCGACGGGACGAGCGTGCTCGGCGCGGATAATAAGGCAGCGGTGAGCGTCGTGATGGAGTTGGTGGCGACGTTAAAGACCCTGCCGAAGGGCAGCCATGGGGATGTTGTAGTGTGTTTTGTTCCTGACGAGGAGATTGGCCTCATCGGGGCGAAGAACCTCAACGTGCAGGAGTGTTTTGACGTCGATTTCGCCTACACGATCGATTGCACGGAACTAGGGGAGGTGGTGTATGAGTGCTTCAACGCCGCCACCGTTAAGCTGCGGTTTAAGGGTGTCTCCGCGCATCCGATGTCGGCCAAAGGGGTTTTGGTGAATCCTCTTCTCATGGCGATGGATTATATCGCGTTATTCGATCCTAAACAGACCCCGGAGTGCACAGAGCTACGGGAAGGGTATTGGTGGTTTGCTGGGATGCAGGCCACTACGACTGAAGCTAGCCTCCACGCGATGATCCGGGAGCACGACCTTGCGCGATTTGACGCACGCAAACAGGCGATGCTGGACGCGGTGAAGACGATTGAACAGAAATACCCCACTGGTCACGTGGAAATTCAAATTGAGGACGTTTATTCAAATATTTCGAATTCGATAAAGGGTGACTTTACCGCGGTAGAGTTGCTTTTAGAGGTGGTGCAGCAGGCCGGGGTGGAACCGAAGGTGATTCCAATGCGTGGCGGTACCGACGGCGCCGCGCTCTCCACGCGGGGTATTTTAACGCCAAATTTTTTCACCGGTGCGCATAATTTTCACTCCCCGTTTGAGTTTTTGCCGATTCCGTCCTTCGTAAAGTCCTTTGAGGTGGCACGGAATATTGTTTTGCTAGGCGCTAAGAGGGAGATGAAACGGGCATGATTTTTTTGTCTCGGTTTATGCGACAAGCTATAGAGGTGACGTACTTTCTCAATATGGTTTGTCTTTTTTTTCTCATTTATTTACTTTCAAATGAAGGATCATTTCACTTTGATTTATTACTTTTATTTGACAGAAATTATTGAAAGGTCTTCTTGGTTTCAGTTATTCTTATTTACTTATTCTTGTTAAAATTATTTTTATTGCTTTCAATTGATCATTTTTTATTATTTATTTCTTATATATGACTTCTACCATTTTACGCATCGCGATTGTGTAGCCACATGTGTGAAGCGAAACACAATGTGTGGAATTTTACATCAATAAAACAGACTGATGTCGGTTGCCGATTACTATCCATGACATGTCTAGGCAGTTTATCTGATATCGTTATATATATATATATACTTTTTTGTCATTCCAAGTAAGGGTTCCGATTATTAAGAACATATCTATAACAACACAAATCTCTCATTACTCTCGCTTTTTATTTTGTTTTGTGTATTACTTAAATAAGGAAGCTGTAAGTATGGATTTCTCCTTTAAAAAAAAATATCACTAAGATATGATTTGAACTGATTTCATTGATTGTGAAAAAAAGCACTCCGATTTGAGGCGAGGGGGTGGTGGGGTGGGGGTGGGGGGGAAGAAAGAAATGATTATGAAGGACAACGTAATTTACCAAACAATGATATCCGCGTCTGCGCTCTTTTGTGTTTCATATGCTAATATTGCAAGAATAATCAGGATGACTGAGCTGCGGATAAGAAAAGTTCAACTCGAAGTGATTTTGGTTCAAAGTATGCTGTTGGGTAGACTTAGCTTTGTAAGCCCAAGAAAGGAAATAACATCAATATACTGCTAAGTCCTTTTTTTGAGGCTTACTTTTCCCTTTTATTTTTATCCACTCTTACATTTGAGCAAAAAAAAAAAACTCAGTTTTGGCACTAGGGTCCTTTCTTTCTACTACACCATATCCATATCTACTCCGTTTTCAATCTTATTTGGCCTTGCTTATGCGGCTTTGGGGTCTGTGGGTGGTGTTTTTCCTATGGGGCCTTGCCGTCCTCTCGCAGGGGGTGGGGGCCGCGCCCGCATCTGACTCGATCCTCCGCCCCCCCACTCTTGAGGCCCTGGTCGAGCAGCTGAACTGCCCGCTTTTCAGCCCGCGCCCGACGCTGCTGTTAGTCCTGCCTCCGGAGGGGCACGCCGACGACGCGAGCCGCGCGGTGCGGGGGGTCTTCGCCGCGGCCGTCCACGGCCTCGCGGGGTCGCCGCTGCTCCCGCGCGCTGTGGAGTTCGTCGTGGGGGCCCCTGCCGACCTCCCTGTCGTCGGCCTCCTGACGGGCGCCCACGCGCTCCCCGCCGTTATGCTGCACTGCGCGGCCCTGGAGGGGGCGAAGGGGCGCGGGCCGGTCTCGTCTTTCCCCCTCTTCCGCGCGCGGCCGGCCCCCCCGCGGGCCCTCGCCGACCCCGCCGGGCTCCGCCGTTGGCTCCTCCGCGAGGCCCCCGCGCGCTTCGCCGATCCCGTTCGTCTGTGCCTGCGGCCCGCGCTGAACGTCGTGCGCACCCCCGCCGACCTCCGCGCCCTTCTTCGCCGTGAGGG